CCCGAATTCCTCACACGTCCCGAATTCCTAACGTCCCGAATTCCTCATGTCCCGAACTCCTCACATGTTCCAAATTCTCAACAACCCGAATTCCTCACGTCCCGAATTCTCAACGATCCGAATACCTCACGTCCCAAATTCTTCACGTCCCGAATTCTCCCCGCCCTAAATTCTCCACGACCCGAATTCTCATCGTCTCCAGTTTCCTACGCCCAAAATTCCAAAAATTGCAATGTCGTAAATCACAAATCTTAACATTTCAAAAATCCTCGATGTTCACAACGCATTGCACAGGAGACCGAACAAGAAACGGTCGATAAATTCCGTGGAAAGTAAACTACACGGCGGGTGAAAAATTCTCTTTATTTCGAGCCCTTGGTTGCAATTAAGCCGTGGCGCGGTTAGTTAAATTTAATTAAGCATCCGGTCGGCCCCGGTTAGATAAATTTTACGAGTTAAACCGCGGCGGGGATCGAATCTAACCAACGAGCTCTAAATTCCTATGTTTTCAGGCGTCGCTATTTGTTCCGTCAACAGAATAAGTCGTCGAGCCGCCATGAAACTCGCGACGCAAATGTGAGTATTTACAATTAACACGAAACAAATGTAAACTTGTTACACATCCTTTTCGTATCAACAAATTTGTAGAACATTTTACTTTTCAAAATTGTATTTTTGTTAAAACCATCGCAGTCTGTAAATGTCTACAGAAAACAAATTGCGCTATTGAAAATTCAGCATATTATTAAAGCCTACTAAAGGCAGAAAAGTTTAAAAATTCTACTGCGAAATTTAAAATATTCTCCTGCAGAGTGGATTAAAAAAATTCTGCTGCGAAGTAAATTTTTAAAAATCTCCTAGAGAGTGCGTTTAAAAAATTCAGCTACGAATCCAAAAATTCTGCAAAGTGATGCAATTATGTTCGTCGCTTCTATTTATGCAAAATGTTGAATCGGCGCGTGAAAGTCGAGAGTGAAATAGTAGACCGTGAAAGGACTACGCAGTATGACAATTACAGGATGATTTCAATAATTGCACGTGAAAAGCGTGATCTCGTTCAAGAATCGTACATGCGCTGTTGTCACACGTGCCACCACCTAATCGCTTTGATGATCACAATGAACGTGTTAATTACCGTTCCACGTGTATGAGAATCCGACTGGAACATTGTTATTGATTCCAGAGTGTCGATTTAACAACTAACTCACGCGATTAGTATCGAGCAATTTCGCCAGGAGCTTTAATGTTCGAGAGATGGATAATTACTTTCTAGCGATGGATCATTACTTTCTAGCGTATCTAATGGCCGTGATAATCTATATAGATATGCACTTATGATCACCCTCTTCGTACAAGCAATTGTCAGTAGAAATTCATAGAAAATATTCGAAAGACTTATTTTTAACTTTTATGGACTTTTAGCAGTTTTGAGATTATAGTTCTTTGAATAGCTTGATATTTGGTATTGTATAATTAATTCCTTTTTTTGTATTATTTAGAACTAGTTAGAATTATTTGGTAGTTCATTATCAATTATTATTTATTGGTATTATTTGATATTATTAAAGTTAGCAATCTTAAGTATAATTTCATTTCAATATCAAATTACGATGCAACTACGAATTTCCTATGTTCTTAAACTTTTGTGCAGGTACAACGCCAACATCTCCACTTTATCAATAGACGAAATTTTCAATCACGTCCTCTCGTTAGGCGATTTGTATGAGTCGCTGGTCATGGCTGACGCAGATTACACCACGCTGCAGAAATTATTGTCGGAGTTTTTTAATAACAAATACGATGTCACCGACCTAATGGAAAGTGTAAGTCCATCAAAATTGAAACCTGAGTAATTTCACTTAAACAAAATATTTCAGTTGACGCCCTCATGTTCCGAAATGTTCGTGCGTTGCAAGATTGAGGACACCTACAAGAGCTGTTCGGAACTGTTTGTACTCACCAAAACTACTAGTGGCTTCTGCTGCACCTTCAATTATCGAGGACGTCCCGAGGACAGAGCAAAGTGAGCTTTCAAAAGATGTTACTATACTTGATTTTGCAATAAGAATGTTTTGACAGGTCCGACAATCGAACGAGTATGCCAGAAACTTACATCGTTAGGAACGTAGGCAGGCAATCTGGTTTATCCGTTTCGATAAGACCGAATTACGATGATTATGCTTATACTATGTTGCCCATCGTTGGCTGGAAGGTAATCAAGTTATTAATTATTATGCTTTCCGGTTATGCTAGCTTGTTAATTCGGTACCTTTCAAAGTACGATTACCCGTCACTAATCGCTTTGGTTTCATCCCGCTCGGTCATCAACGGTTATCCAGTTTTTAGCACAGATGTCCGTCGGCAAAAAACTGGCGAGAGTCATTAGCAAGCGCGATGCAGGTCTTTTTCCCTCGGGAAAACGCGAACATAACGCAGTGACCTCTTACAACGTTAAACAGACGTTTCTTTTATTGTAGACGGTTCTACGTTCGTTATAGTAGAAATGTTAATTACAATTTTACTTTGCGATGTAGGCTTTGTAAGAGAAAAGATTGAATTGTTATCCAGAACCACTTTGCTGTTCATTGAGAAAAAGAAAGATGCTTTATTAATATATTAAAAAAATAAACCGCGTTATGAAAACTTCAGACAAGTATGAAATGCGTTAACAATTTCATAACAAGCGTAATATCTTGCACATATAATTATAAAAGAACTACCGCTCTCGTTGAATGGCCGTGAAACGAGGTCACCTTTCTTTGTCACGCATTATAATTATATTATTATACAATTTTCTTTTGATGCACACAATTACAATTACACGCGGTCACAAGAACAGTACAATTTTTAAATTGCACCGTACTTGTTAACCGACGGTTCAATGTGTAACGGCGCGGGGTTGAAATGTACCAGAATACGAAGAAGAAAACGTGTTCTTTCATGCATGTTCTACTTACAAGCATATATATAAATTTGCACGCGAAATAAACTGAAACGAGTTCCAGCAGCCACTCGTAATCGCGTTTTTGATCAAAGGTAACATTGCTCTTCTTCTGAAAACAAAATGAACCACATTTCAGGTGCGCGTGAATGCGCCACGAAAAAATCTCATCGATTTAAAATACGCTTTTTAGCTTTTGAGAGGATTAAACATGTTGCGGTACTTTTTTTGTACACTGTTGTTGATCAAAGGACATGTGGTAATTCCACGTACGGTGGTTCGACGAATGCAGTTTCATCGCGTAGTGATTACATTCCTGGTAATTCGGCACGTAGAGTTCCAACGTGTTGTAATTCAACCCGTAGAATTCCAACGCGTGGTAATTCGGCGCGTGGAGATTCGACGCGTGGTAATTCGGCGCGTGGTAATTCTACGCGTGGAAATTTTGTGCGTGGGAACTCGACGCGTGGTAATTCGGTGCGTAGTAATACGATCCATAGAATTTCAGCGCGTGGTAATTCGATCCGTGGAGTTCCAGCGCGTGGTAATTCAACCCGTAGAATTCCAACGCGTGGTAATTCGGCGCGTGGAGATTCGACGCGTGGTAATTCGGCGCGTGGTAATTCTACGCGTGGAAATTTTGTGCGTGGGAACTCGACGCGTGGTAATTCGGTGCGTAGTAATACGATCCATAGAATTTCAGCGCGTGGTAATTCGATCCGTGGAGTTCCAGCGCGTGGTAATTCAACCCGTAGAATTCCAACGCGTGGTAATTCGGCGCGTGGAGATTCGACGCGTGGTAATTCGGCGCGTGGTAATTCTACGCGTGGAAATTTGGTGCGTGGGAACTCGACGCGTGGTAATTCGGTGCGTAGTAATACGATCCATAGAATTTCAGCGCGTGGTAATTCGATCCGTGGAGTTCCAGCGCGTTGTAATTCGATCCGTGGAGTTCCAGCGCGTTGTAATTCGATCCGTGGAGTTCCAGCGCGTTGTAATTCGATCCGTGGAGTTCCAGCGCGTTGTAATTCGATCCGTGGAGTTCCAGCGCGTTGTAATTCGATCCGTGGAGTTCCAGCGCGTTGTAATTCGATCCGTGGAGTTCCAGCGCGTTGTAATTCGATCCGTGGAGTTCCAGCGCGTTGTAATTCGATCCGTGGAGTTCCAGCGCGTTGTAATTCGATCCGTGGAGTTCCAGCGCGTTGTAATTCGATCCGTGGAGTTCCAGCGCGTTGTAATTCGATCCGTGGAGTTCCAGCGCGTTGTAATTCGATCCGTGGAGTTCCAGCGCGTTGTAATTCGATCCGTGGAGTTCCAGCGCGTTGTAATTCGATCCGTGGAGTTCCAGCGCGTTGTAATTCGATCCGTGGAGTTCCAGCGCGTTGTAATTCGATCCGTGGAGTTCCAGCGCGTTGTAATTCGATCCGTGGAGTTCCAGCGCGTTGTAATTCGATCCGTGGAGTTCCAGCGCGTTGTAATTCGATCCGTGGAGTTCCAGCGCGTTGTAATTCGATCCGTGGAGTTCCAGCGCGTTGTAATTCGATCCGTGGAGTTCCAGCGCGTTGTAATTCGATCCGTGGAGTTCCAGCGCGTTGTAATTCGATCCGTGGAGTTCCAGCGCGTTGTAATTCGATCCGTGGAGTTCCAGCGCGTTGTAATTCGATCCGTGGAGTTCCAGCGCGTTGTAATTCGATCCGTGGAGTTCCAGCGCGTTGTAATTCGATCCGTGGAGTTCCAGCGCGTTGTAATTCGATCCGTGGAGTTCCAGCGCGTTGTAATTCGATCCGTGGAGTTCCAGCGCGTTGTAATTCGATCCGTGGAGTTCCAGCGCGTTGTAATTCGATCCGTGGAGTTCCAGCGCGTTGTAATTCGATCCGTGGAGTTCCAGCGCGTTGTAATTCGATCCGTGGAGTTCCAGCGCGTTGTAATTCGATCCGTGGAGTTCCAGCGCGTTGTAATTCGATCCGTGGAGTTCCAGCGCGTTGTAATTCGATCCGTGGAGTTCCAGCGCGTTGTAATTCGATCCGTGGAGTTCCAGCGCGTTGTAATTCGATCCGTGGAGTTCCAGCGCGTTGTAATTCGATCCGTGGAGTTCCAGCGCGTTGTAATTCGATCCGTGGAGTTCCAGCGCGTTGTAATTCGATCCGTGGAGTTCCAGCGCGTGGTAATTCAACCCGTAGAATTCCAACGCGTGGTAATTCGGCGCGTGGAGATACGACGCGTGGTAATTCGGCGCGTGGTAATTCTACGCGTGGAAATTTGGTGCGTGGGAACTCGACGCGTGGTAATTCGGTGCGTAGTAATACGATCCATAGAATTTCAGCGCTTGGTAATTCGATCCGTAGAGTTCCAGCGCGTGGTAATTCATATCGCCCCAAAAATGTATAAATAATTTGCGTTTATCTGATTCTTTTCAGGTGATGATATTTAATTCGGCCAGTTATCCTGATCCATACAGTGGTGGTGTTTTCGAAGTCCTAGTTAGTCCATTGACACGGCATAACGTAGAATTATATAGTGTCGTAATGGAAAGCACGGACACTATACGAGCGTATCCAATCGAAAAGCGTGGATGTATTTTTAGTGACGAGCAAAGTACTTTTGACGACTCTTACAGTTACAGCGAATGTATAACTTCTTGCAAAATGCGTGACATATGGAAGAAGTGCAAGTGCAGACCTTTTTTCTATCCACGATTTGGTTCTACGGAAGGTTAGGTTATTTCTTAATTATTATACACATCTATAATTTTTGCCTCTACTTTTGTAATTCATTTGAAATTTTGTGTCTGATTAACTCGTTCAAAAAATTGACAGTATTATTGCAATTAATGTTTTTATAAATATTTTCTTTTGGTATAATGTTTTTTTCGGTAATGAAATGATAGGTGTGACTGTCTTTTTCTCATTGAAATGAACTGTTTCCCTTTATCAGTGGCAACATCGTTTGGTGCTAGTTAAAAGGGCTCATTATTTTCGTATCTTACAAATGCATTAAGTATCATAGTTTCCTACTCATCGTCAAAACGACGAGTTTTTGGAAGAAAACAATCTTCCACGAGAGGACTTTGCAGCTCTTACTTCCTTTTCGCGAGCTTCCTAACGAGCTTCCACTGCGAATCACTTTAAAACGTTAAAGAGGACCGCACCGTTCAGTTAAAGCTCTAGCTCCTCCATAAATTTTGATAATCGAAAAGTTCAACTTTCCCCGTTTATTTTCGTCAATTTTATAAATTCTGATGCTTTCTTTTAATCGGTTGTTCAGAGTCTGAGAGAACGTGCAGCGTCGAAGACATACACTGCTTGATTAAACAAGTTGGTAAGCTATTATTTTTTCCTATAGAAATATATACGAAATTCGATACGAAATTATTTAATTATAATATTTCTATTTAATTTTTATAATACAGTTCCATATTATTTATTCTATGTTCTATACGTACCGTGTAAATAATTTAAATTGTTTCAAATCTTATGGACGTTGTCGATTGCAGGCAGAAATATGGATCTTATACCAAATCACGATAAAGAAATACTCAAGTTAATTCCCAGCGGTGCGTCAACATTGAAGTGCAATTGTTATCCCGAATGTAACGACGTATCCTACATGCTGACAACCAGCGCACACTCCATACCACGTGGTTACACCGAGACGCCATTACTGTAAGATTACTGCACTTTGCTCGAGTGAATTCATGAATTAAGTAATTGGACTAAATCGTATCTCAAATGTTATAGCCCTGGAATAAACGTGACGGATGAAAGTGTTCTGAATGTGTACTTCTCGGAAATGGAAAGCCTATATATGAAGCAGGACGAAACATACCGTTGGTACGAATACATAAGTGAGTTTCCAAACGTCCGTTTTCTGACATAAAAGTTTCATGAGTTACTCGAAGATTTATATTGTTGATACTCAATATTAGAAGACTTATTCGATTCGAAATTTTTTAACAAGGAGTGATAATTACCACAAAACACCGTTTTACAGGTGACGCAGGTGGATTATGCGGTTTGATTATCGGATTCAGTATGGTCAGCGTCATGGAAATTATTTATTTCCTCCTTCTGTTTATTTTCGAACTTTGTGGGTTCCCTACTAACACGACGCGTATAAAAGAAGATTCGAACAAGGAGATCATGCTACATCCCCTATACTGGAACGAGTTGTATCCACGCCCGAGGAGCGACAGGCGAATTTATAGACGAAATAATGTTCGATATTGAATACAATAGGCTCTGCATATATTGCCTTGTACACGTTCACACTGCTGTTGCAGCAAACTTCAGCAGCAAATATTGCACAGTAGTTGCACAGGAATTTAACCTAACCTGATGTAGTAATGTCTAATTTAACATAACACAATATAACAAAACCTAATCCAATCTAACCTGATGCAGTATAACATAATTCAACCTAACCTAATGCCATAAAGTATAATCTAACCTAACCTCGTATAATATGATCTAACTCAATCTAACCTTATGCAGTATAACATAATTCAACCTAACCGAATGCCATAAAGTCTAATCTAACCTAATCTCGTATAATATGATCTAACTCAATCTAACCTTATGCAGTATAACATAATTCAATCTAACCTAAAAAGGTATAATCTAATCGTGCCTAACCTGAAGTTGTATACTCTAATTTGACCTAACTTAATGTGACATAGCCTACTATAATATAACCCAAATTTATCTAACCAAACCATAATGTAATCTAACCAAACCTAACCATAATCTAATCTAACCTGCCCTAACCTTAACCTTATCCAACCTAACCTCAATCTAAGCTAACCTTAATCTAACCTAACCTAACATAACTGTAATCTAATCTAACCTAACCTTAATCTAATCTAACCTAACCTAACTTTAATCTAATCTAACCAAACCTTAATCTAATCTAACCTAACCTAACTTTAATCTAATCTAACCTAACCTTAATCTAACATAACCTAATGTAGTATAATTTAACCTAGTTCACCCAAACAAAATTTCATTAAATCCAACCCATTTCCAAAATACACAAAATATTTTCATATCATCAGTTCCTTCATACAAATTTAAAGACACCTTGTCAGAAATATTGCCTTCGAAAAATATTTTTAGGCAACATATTTCCTGAGAGATGCCACTGAATTATTTAGCGATACTACCCTTATTATTTCCGCGGAGGGCAAATATTACAAAAAATGGCGAATATCGAACGCAAATTGTACGTTCAGAAGAATTTCAGTTTCTTCGTGGTTGGGATATTTGAAAGATCGAGACAAATAGCTCGGTGCCGCAAGAAAAATGTACTTCCCGAAGGTTTCAGTAATTTCTCCACCCCGAAAGAAGAATGTAACGTTTCGAAACGGAACGATATCCAGAAAGATCGAGACGGCTTCGAGTGGCTGAGGGTGTTATTAACGAGACACGTGGTAAACGGTTTGTGCTACCGAGATCTTTGGGCCGAGAGAGCCCTTGGTACCGCGGAGAAAAATATCGCCATCAAGAACCCGGCACGGCAATAATCCTCGGTCACAATTGCGGGATATCGAACGACCAAAACTTATATCCCGCGTTCAGAGGAGTCGCGTCATTTGTAAGGAAATTTATTAACGAACAGAAATAATCGAGGCTATATGGTATTTCATAGGAAACTATCTTTCAACGATGACAATCGTGAGCCAGCACATATTTCACATTTTTATGGTACCTGTCTCGAGATATATGACACAATATACGACACAAGAGCCGTGGAATTATATCGAAAATTCTCTTATCATTGTGATATATAGGCGGTGGAAATTGAACATTAGCTAATGGAGGGCATGTTTCAGATTTATCGATTTGTTTGCGGAGCTCTGCATTCGCGTGTTCCGGTATACTATGATTTATACACTTAATGAAATTTTGTATACAAAATTTTTCTTTCTAAAAAATTCTTAAAACAAGTAGCCGCGAAATTTCACAGCACGATATTAACGCGATACGTTTCCCTGACACCGAGGATTAACCTGTCCCGCCATTTTACTTCCTAGACGCGTGACGTTTGACGAAACGCGGTGTACAAGCGGGGTCGATGGAAATTTCCATTGTCCGGAAACACCTGCGGCGTATTCGGGAGGCCATCGAACAGAACTAATGTTGCAAGGTAATTTGTAACGAGAATGGAGAGCGCCCAAGCCAATTTAGAACGTGAGATCTAGCCGTCAGAAGCCAGATAAATTACTTTGTTTTGCCGGCGAAGAACCACACAGCCCGGATGGACATCAATATTGACGACGGCTAATGAGTTATCCCTTCTAGTTCTCTATCGACAGTGAATTCTGCGTGTTCCGGTCTGTGAACTCGTCGCATACTTGATGCGACATCGGCGAGATCTGTCGTAAAATTAATCTGCAAGAACAAAATTTATTATTGGGTCACTTGGATGAAGTGGCGATCTGTTGGACAATGTCGTTTCTATTGACGTTATGTCTGTATTAAGCTTTGAGTGACAGTATATCGACGGATGAATTTCAATTTGGGATTTTGAGGGGGTGGGGATTTAGATGGCGTGGAGATATGGGGACGTGGACATTTGGGGATGCGACAGTTTGGAGATGGGATGATTTAGAGATGCGACAATTTGGGGATGTGACAAGTTGAGAATTTAAGACAATTTAGGTGTCTGAGGCAATTTGGGAATCAAAGACAATGTAGGAATCTGAGAATATTAGGAAATCTAAGACAATGTGGGAATCTAAGACAATGTGGGAATCTAAGACAATATGGGAATTTAAGACTATGAAGGAATCTGAGACAATGTCGGAATCTAAGACAATGAAGGAATCTGAGACAATTTAGGAATCTAAGACAATGTGGGAATCTAAGACAATGTAGGAATCTGAGGAAATTGAGAATCTTTCATACAAAGTTTAAATTTAAAGCCAACGCGTCAAAACTATTACTATAAATAAATGTATACCAAAATATAAAATAGCGTATGTTGAACAATGTTTTTCTACCCTGTAGCAACATGGAAAAACACCGGTGCTATTCTTATTTGAGAAGTTGCAAACTGTCATTGAGCTTGATGTTCCTTTATGCACCAAATAACTTGGATACTTTTTCCACCGTCGATTATACCGTTATAGGGTCATATTGACACCAATTTTCCAGCTACACGGATAATCGCGGTTCTCGAAAGTTCGCTAAATGTGCAATAATGCAGTGGCACACGGTGAGATCGTGCTTCAGGCTGGATGATCGATATGATAAGAACCCGACCTATATGAGCCGAGTGCACTCAGCTTCTTGTTGGAGCAGTCATGCGACACCTGTTCTTCGCAAAAAGAATGCACTGACAAATGATAATGGCGAATCTATCGCTCCGCATGAATATTAAGAGGATGCATGGGTATCGTTTATCCAGCTGCATGAATATTAAACTTTCCTCGCTCTTGAAGCCGATAAAAGCACCGAACGATTGATCGAGCTAACTTTCATACACTTTTGAAAAAGTGTTCATCTTTTTGTCGCTTCGTAACATATTAGTTTTGTTATCGGGAGAAAATGGTTGTATCTATCTGAACGATCGACGGTATCAACGTTGTATTTTTGATATTTGATGAAAGCTCCAATTGAAATGGCATGACTTTTTTAAAACAACGGGTATCTCTGTCAACGATTGCGAATTAAAGCCTCACTGCCAATCGCGGATATTGCTGGTACTACACTCTGTAAAAGCTATCTCACGAGGTCGAATTTCATTCTAACGCTGTTCGATTTCGCATTTTTCATCGCTTAAATTTCACGATTGATCACGGATCGTGTTCCGGGCACGTTTTGGTGTTTCAGCCAGGTGTTACTTTCGTTACTTTTATTTCGTCCATCAAAATTCGACCTCTGATTGAAAGTGGTTCAATAAGTGAAACGTGTCGAAAGTTGTTTGATTAGAAAATTTTCCTTGATTTATCGATGACGTGTGTTTGGAACGCGGGGTTGTGGCTGACAGACGTAATAAATGTTGTTTGGATATTATTTGAGGGTTTGAGGAGTGGAGGAGTTGAGGATTCGAGGATTTAGGGATATGTGGATTTGAGCATATGTGGAGTTGGAGATATGTGGATTTGAGCATATGTGGAGTCGGAGATATGTGGATTTGAGGATATGTGGATTTGGGAATATGTGGATTTGAGGATATGTGGATTTGGGCATATGTGGATTTGGGGATATGTGGATTTAGGCATATGTGGAGTTGGAGATATGTGGATTTGGGAATATGTGGAGTTGGGGATATGTGGATTTGAGGATATGTGGATCAGGACATATGTGGATTTGGGGATATGTAGATTTAGGCATATGTGAAGTTGGAGATATGTGGATTTGGGAATATGTGGAGTTGGGGATATGTGGATTTGAGGATATGTGGATTAGGACATTTGTGGAGTTGAAGATATGTGGTAGAAAACTATAAGAATCTAAAAATGTCAAAATTATAAATTTCCCTAAATAAAAAATTAGAAAATGAAAAATTTATTTAAATTTAAAATGCATCTCCACACATCTTTCCACAAAAGAGAAAAAGAAGAAACCGTTTCACCCGAAATTAACCGCAAGTTTCCAGTGGGAAAAGAAGAATTGAAAACATGCATGAGAAGAGAGAGGAAACGTGAACCGACCGACTCCGTTTTTCTTCTGGTGTGCCCATTTTTCGTTTGTTCGTTCGAGTGGCGGGGATTTTAATGGGAAAAGTTTCTGCGCGTTGGACGAAAGGAATCAAGCGACGGTTGACTTTTTCAGAATTTAAACAAGTACAACCAACGTAATCCACTTTCGACCCTGAAGTGCTGGATAACAGGCACGTTTCGACACTCAACATAGCGTACAATGCAATACAGGTACGTGCCTCTGTTGGATTGTACCTTGGATGTTTTTACAGTGTCCCCTGGGATGCAGTGCTTTTTTTTGTTTGATGCTGCAATCAGCAGTTCAACGTTTCTGAATCAGCACATCATTCTACGTTATTTTACTAAACTTCAGTAAGGAGTTCTTGAAGAATTTTTGTTTGTTGGTGTAGTCGTTGATGTAGTCATACATGTGATCATAAGTGTGTTCATACATGTGTCCATACAATATCCACATATATGTGGCCACAAGTATAATCATACATATAGTCATACATATGAGTATGAATATGTTCATTGATGTCATATGATCATTTACTTTGGAAATGTTCATTTACTGATATAATTATAGACGTCGCCATACATGTGATCATAAGTGTGTTCATACATGTGACCACACATATGATCATACATATAGTCATACACATGAA